CAAAAATTATTTTTTTAAATGTTATTTTTTCCAGAAATAACTGTAAGTATTAAAAGCTCTGCAGTACCTTTGATGTTTTTGCGCAAAACCTCCAACAAATCTGAACTGATTTTGTTTAACGGTCAGTTCTAGTTCCTGCGCGTCAGGAGGAAAAGAAATAACATTTTTAAAAAAAGGGTTGCGTCGTGCAACTGCAATSTCTCCGCTTTAATGGAGGAACTGGCCAGACGACCTTTGACCCGCAGGTCATCAGCTCATTGTGCGCCGGGACACCGAGGAGCTGCCGCGCCATTTAGGGAGAAGAGYCGCGCGCAGAAAATGGATTAATTTGGCGCAGCGTGCGGGTGTGTTTGATACCGACTGAAACGGCTGAAAATGAATAAAACACACACATGAAAGCATTGTAGGAAGCGTGTCGGTGTTTAACATCCAAACTGAGCCAATAAAACGTCATGAACGGATGAGACGCAGGTGGAATAAAACCGTAAAATGCGTAAAATAAATCGTTTGAGGATGATAAGGTTCAGGATGGTGATGAAGGTCTGCTGAAAACAAACTCACATCATCTCCTCAGTCCTGAAAACCCAACAAATGAGAAAAAATAATCTGTGTAAAAATATGCAGAAATCAAAAACCAAGAATTACACAATTTTTAAAAAATATCTGCACGTCGAATTAAATAAAAAAACACACATTTAACCATTAATTATTTTCAAACATGTTAAAAACTTTGGATTAAGACAACAGGTAATTAAATTATGCGTGTTCACATTAATTCTGTATCCTATATGACGCGTTTTTGCAGCGTTGCTCTCAATTAAAACCCTATGTAAAAAAAAAACACCTAAATGTCTCTTAAAGCTGTGCCTCAGTCCTAAAATAAAAACATAATCTAACAATGTTTTAAGACTTCAGTATATTTTAATACTAAAAGTGTTAGAAACAAGCAGGTGGAGGCCTTGAATATGGAAATAACAGATTTAACACATTAATGCAATTTAGAAATCAATAAATCTGAAAACGAGTTTAAAATTTGATCCTTAAACGGTAGAGTGATATTATCAAGAAAAAACTAAAATAAATCTGACTTTATTTAATTTGAATAATCTGCATATCTGCAAACAGATTCTATTCTATTTGAATTAAAGCTGAAATTATTCCGATTTTATATTGAAAAGGACAAAAATATTATTTAAATATATATGCAGAGCAGTCTGTGTTCATTTACATATTCTGCCATAAAAAGCAAAGATAAAAATTTAAACTGAACAAATATAAAAAGGTGAAAAATATTTGATCTGATCGAGTTGATGTTGGAAAATGAAGGGATCATAAAAAACTTTTTTTGTTTATTTTACTTGATGCAAACTAACAGAACTTAAAGTTTCTCATCTGCAAACAGCTTTTCTTTAAATCCGCCTTTAAACTCTAAGATTTTAGCAATTTCTGAAAAATAATCTGAAAGTATTTATTAAAGAAATCACGACGCATACACTGTTAATTTAAATAAACTCCTTTTAAACACACACTTAAACACTAATGCTGCAAAGTTCAGAATAAAAATAAATAAATCTCAGTTAACAGATATAATTTGTGGTTATTTTTTTCTAAAATATTATTTTCTAACCCAAGGCACTTTTAGAGAGAAATTAAGATTTGCATTGTCTTCCTTTAAATTAGAACGTGTGTGTGTGTGTGTGTGTGTGTGTGTGTGTGTGTGTGTGTGTG